TGTGAAGTTAATTAAAAATTTATAATTATATAAGTATCTTGTAAAATTAAATATTAGTCATACAGTTGATTTATTTATATTTAATGACTTAAAAAGATATATAATGTTATATTTATACAATATTAAAATTAAATATAATTTATTTTAATATATCTTATTAATAAAAATAATATTATTGATTTAAAAAATAACTTGAATTTATTTTTAAAATTATTAATTTTAATATATTATATCAATAAAGATTACATGAATTAATTTAAATAATTTATTTTTTAATTTTTAAAGTATTGTTTATCTAATTAATTTTTTGGTATAATAAAATATATTATTAATTTATTAATAATAATAATAATAAAAACTACCATAAAGATAGAGAAAATAAAATAATAATGATATCAACATACTATATTTTAATTGTATGAATGATAAGTTATTTTTTTTTAAAGAAAATGAAATATATGAATGATATGTTATTTTTTTTAAAAAAAAAGATGAAGAGTAAGAATGTAATAGAAATATTTTAAAAACTAAAAGCTTCTTTAGATAGCTTTTGAAAAGCTAGTTTATTTTATTTTATATTTATCAAACAGCTCAAAAAGCTCTATTATCTGGTAAAGCCTAAATTGATAAGTCAAAATTCAAATTCTCAATAGGATAAATAAAATGTTCTATCTTGACATATTAGTTATTAAGAGTAGGGACAAGATAAGATAAGAAATTTAAGGTTAAATATATTTTTATCTATATATTTTAATTTTTTTATAATTTTTTTTTACTTTCATTTATTGATTTATTCTATTAAAATATTATTAAATGTTTACTTTTTATTGAATCATAATGCTTAAAAAAATTAAAAATAATATTTTTTTTAAAATATAGAGATAAAACTAAAAATTTGTCTGGAAAGACAAAAATAAAAAAATTTGGTGACATGTGAAAGATACAAGTATATTTAAGTCAAATTTTAAAATAAAATAAAAACACAATAGTTACCATATAAAAGACTAAATTAATTTCTTTGCGATTGAATATGTACTTTAGAGTTAAGTTAAGTATGATAAATTTATTATATTTTAGTTTTAGATACATTGATGATATTTTTGTGTTTTTTTTTTATATTATTGATGTAAAATTTTAATCAATTGAATTTAAAATTTTAAAATAAGAAAAAAATTGAACAAGTCTTCGATTTCGGTTTATGAGTTGTCCCTAGATGAGTTGGATTAATCACACTATAACAAGTTAATCATGTTTAACATCTCCAGTGGCTAGCTAATATTAATGCGTAACAAAATGATTGGAAACATTAACAAATGTAATCGCAATAAGAGTCAATAATCTATATATGTTTAATGGCCTTTTGACTCTGCTTGAGATGATAATGCACTAAATATGTTGCACCCCAAAATGATAGAAAGTGATAATCACCAAATGAAATCCTTCAAATTTAATGTAAAATAATAAAAATATCAAACTGAAAAAAAAAAACAACTCAAAACTGCATTTCTTTTGCTTTTATTCATGTAGTAAAAACTAATATATTCTACATTCAGAAATAGGTTAATAAATGACATCAGAGTGTACTATAGAAAAGTAAAGTTATATTTTTCTTGAAAACAAGTTAATCTATGTTATATGATAATTACATTTTATATTTTTTTATCAACAATTTATATTTAAATTAGCTTTATGAATTATGACGAATGTAACTATCAATACCAATTATATTATGACTTTCGAGGAAAAAAATATATTTTAGATTTGTTTTTATTATAATTAGCATGTATTTCATGATTTATTTATTACTTTACCAGATTTATAGAAACTAAAAAATTGGTATAATACAAATTATTGTATTTTAAACTAGATTAAATTAAATATTAGACCAAACATATTAAATAATAAAATAAAATTTATAAAAAAGACGTTTACCTTCTGAAATTATCTGCCATAAATAAGTCCACTTTGGCTTCATCAAAAGAATATTTTTTTATTTTTTTTTTGTAAATTAAGACTTGTTTTGCTATGAAAGACATGCTTGAGTGTTTGTTGACTGAGAATCAATTGACTGTGTCCTTAGGCCTTATCGGGATTAATGATGAGATAATAGTGTGTTAATGACTTATTGGTCTAAAGAGTTGACAGAAATAAGAACAAAAAAAAAGGAAGGGTCCAAAGCATTGACCTAAAAAGGGTCTAAAAGCCTGATCTGAAGAAATTGGCACTGAAAAAGAAGTGGCCACTTAGCATTTCAAAATTGCATGTCATATCATCATGAATTCATCGTTGAAACTTTAGATTCAATTCACCCTAAAATTATTTTGCAAACTCTTGCTTAAATAGTTATATTTATATAACCATATATCTTATGGATATTAAAAACAAACCATTTAGCCTTAAAAAAAAACTAGTGAGGGTCTCAGTTGTCAATGCACTTTTAATTCATAATATATATAATTGACACTGTTATAAAAGTAAATGTCAGGTGATTTTTGGGTAACTATCTAGTTTTGTTCTTCAAGGTTTAACACCTTTATAATTGGACTCATAATTTGAGGCCTAGAGCATTGGAACTTCGTAAACAATGCTCAAAATAATAGCGAAAGAAATGACAATAAGGACACTGGAAATGAGTTAAGTTTCACTATATTAGAGGAAGGTTGCATCCTCTATTTTATATAGTTGTAAGAATATTAAGATTTGATGATTGATATTAATGAATTGACTATTTCACTCACATCATTCAACATGTGTTAAAGAAAATAAAATATAGGAAGAAAATAATTTTTTTACTATTATTATTATTATATTATTGAATGTCATTACCAACAATCTCCTATTTATGTTCAAGTGACTCAAGAGTATTAGACAAAGAAAAAATTTGTATTTAAGTGTTAATGTCTATATCATATTGAAAATACATTAGTAAAAAATATTTTTTTTGTATTTTAAAATAATAAATAATTTGAAATAAATATAAATATTAAGTAATATTTTATATGAAAAAAAGAACTATATTTATCATATCTACTTTTTATCATTTAGCTTTGAATTATTTAAATTTAATATTATTTTTTATTTTATCATACAATTATAATATTTCAAGTCTTAGTTAATTTAATTATGATAAAGAATATTTATTACAGTTAATCTAAAGAAATACGATGAATAATAAAAAAAAAGTAGAAAAAAAACTTAATAATGATAACATGTACTTTTCATAGTTTTTGAAATTTCTATATTGTAAATGTACATGTAGATTTATAAACATATACTTTATAACAATATTTATTATTCACTCAAAGTTTATGTTATAATTTATATATTTTATTGTTGATTTTTTAAAATTAATTAACAAGAAAACTAATAAAAGTAAAAGAAACATATTTTGGAGAAAAATAATTTTACGTACGTATATTTTTTGAACACAAAGATAAACAAAGGTTTAAAAATACGTTAAAAATTTAATACTTATGATTTGAAATTTTTTTATTAATATTTAAAGATACATAAATTTACATGTAATTCAATTAGGTTATAAAATATTCATTGTTATTAAATTTTAAGATTAATTTTAAATAATTAATAATAATTTAAAAAAATATTTTTATAGGTTTAAAATTAAAATCATATTAATAGTTTCATTAATTAATAATAACATTATTTTTATTAATATATTTAATTTATTTATTGATTGTATCGACGCTACAAATAAACCAAAGAATAATAAAATAAACAAATGCACATTACTACTAAATGCAAATTTTCAATTAAGATTTTAAAATGATATATGATTTTGGAGTGTTTTCAGGGTTAGGAGTAGTCCGTGAATATCTTAATTTATAACTTAATTAATTTTTTCAATTAGTATAAGAGCACAGTTAGATAAATTATTTTTAAACTGAGTAGGGGAGGCTGTTGGGCTAAAGCCTTTTTTTACGGCTCTAAGAAATTCGTCAGTGAAAAAAGAAAAGCCCAATTAATAATCAAAATGGGATGGATCTGAATTGGTTTGGACGGCCCAGAACCAATGTTCTCAACTATCTATTCTGTTAGTGCGTCTAATAGACTGCAGCACCAACCAAATTTAAAAAATGATCCAGCAACAGCAATTGCGTTTTCCCTCTATTTTACTTTTCACATTTTGTAAAATATGGGGAGATTGTAAAATATAATTTCAGAATTATATTTCTAAAATTATTTTATATTTCTGAAAATTAAATTTTTGAAGTGTAATTTTTAATGAAAAAAATTTAATTCTGGAAGCTTGTAAATTATAACTCTAAAATTTATTTTTTAAAATAATATAGACTTCCAGAATTTAAATTGTAATTGGCGATATTTTTAAAAAAATAAAAATAAAGAGAAATGTGAAAAGTAAAAAATGAGGTGTAAATATCAATCTCTCCTGCAATAACACTGCATAAACTAAACAACTTAACCAAATTTGCCCAGTCCAACCAAATTTTCATGTGGAGCAAATACTACCAGTATTAATTCATTGTGAAAAATCATACCTGACTTAATTTATTTTATGTTAGGTTAAAATAGTTGATATTTGTTTACAAATTAATTTTTATATTTAAAAAATTATATTTTAGTTTTTATATGAATATTTTGCAGCATTTTTGTTTCTATCATTAATGGTATTATAACAGTATGAACAAAAATGTAATAATTTTTTTTTATTAAAAATGAAAAATTCTTTAAATTCCTAAATCCTATTACTCTTAGGTGATAAATTCAACACTAAATCTGTATGCCTATTGTAACACCTAAATTTGGTTATAAATTTAATTTGAAATAAAAGTATTTACTAAAAATCTGTTCCATTTTTTTAATACAACAAAATTAAGTAAACTAAAAATCAATATCTAAGTAACTATTTCTATAACTACATACAAAATCTGTTCTTTTCATTTTAGTTTTTTCTCTTATTAAAGCCGAAGTTGATTAGGATGAGAATGACAATCTGTTACTGTAGTGGATCACAGTTTTAAAAGAACAGAAATTTAATTACATTTTTATTTAATTTTATATTGTTATTATATATAAGTACACTTATGCCTTGTAACCAACTGATAAGGTTAAGGGTAATAAATCACAGCCACGAATATTATTTAAATTATGAACCACATGATATGTTTGTAGAGTAATGGTATATATATTGTTTAAATGAATCTACACTTGGATGGATATTTTAATCAAAAACACGATTATGACAAGTGGGATTGCAAGGGTAAGCGCAATCTATCTGATGGAAAGGCCTTCGCTCGTAAAACCAATCTCCCACTGCCTTTGCAATTGTCTGCACAAAGTTATGCAGATAAGTTAGCTCTTCAACTGAACATAAAAGGAAAAGACAAAAGTAATAAATAAAACTAAAGAGAAACATTCATAGATGCACATATTCTGTAGGAAGGAGAAAATAATGAAATTTCTTACTGTATTGGCCAACACTGGAGAGTCATTTCTCATCCATGTCTCCTGTATTCCAGTTTGGCAGTGTGCATAGCAACCATCTATAAACATCCCTTTAGATGGAGTGTTCCCAACTGCACTCAATGCCCTTAAGAATTCTGTCCTGAAACCTGAAATCATGCATCTAATGAGTCACAAAACTGCTTTCCAATATGCCCCCACCCAAATGGCTGCAGAGTATCACCATGTGACACCAGGCCGGTAGAAGGTTGTTTAGGAGAGGATTTTTATGATAATAAATAAGTGATTAATAAATTATGTTTATGCTAATCTATCATTTGATATCTTTAGTTTTGAAATTTTCAGAAAATTTCAGCGCAACAGAAGTTACTAAGAATAAAAAATGTGCACCTTGCATTACACTTAGTTGATTTGGTGAGCAGTTTTTTATATCAAGTTTGCAATCACGCCAAGTGCCATGGGGATCAGCAACACCGGGTGCCAAAATGTTCTTAATCTGAATCAAAGCAAAAGTTTGGAGATCAGAAAAAGATCACAAGCGATATCATTACTGAATAAGTAAGAGCAACATGTAGTGAACTTATTGTCAACTTCATGATGTGATGAATTATTGTCATCTTATGGGCGAGCAAAAGTGATTCAACACTTAGTCATATACCATTTAAGCGTTCCTGGTGTTCTCTTTGGAAAACAAAAAGTTTATGAAGTTGAAAATAGTATGTTAAGATTAAAAGATTATGCATAACAATCCTGGTTCAATTCTGATCATATCTCAGTTGGATTGGCATGTAGAATTTCATCATTGAGTTAATTCAAAAACCATAATTTTTTTTCTTTAGGAATTCCATGTTAAAAATCTTATGTCTGTTATCTTGAAGTTCCCTATAAACTCTCATAAATGAATATTTTAAAAAATTGAGTGCAGCAACACTAGAATTCTCTTAAACGATCATTACTTTACTGTCTTACTATTATATATCCGAATCAATGTAATAAGCCCACCAATTGATCAAAGCATACAGACATAAGGTAAAGTTTTAGTAGGACCAATATATTTAAAAAAGCACCGTTCCAAAAATAAACTAATGTTTCTTGTGAAAGAGAATAATCTGACCTGCCATGAGTCATAGGCTGCATTTACAAAAAATATTGGAGTACTGATTTGTGATGCCATATTTTGAGGGAAAAAGCACTACACAATTGTTCAGAAGTATTAGCAAAACCAAAAGAAGCCACAAAACAAAAGTAAATGATTCACAATTCACAAACTTACCAGCCCTGGTCTAAGTCTTGAAGTGCAGGATCGAGGCAAATTTTTTGCTGAACCCTAAAATATAGAAGAAAATAAAATCTTTATTGAGTGAAAGCTTCAGAAAGTTTCTTCTAAATGAGAAGTGTGAACTATAACAACAATTTTTTGGGGCAAAACACAGAATATACTAGTGCTATGTCAAAGGGGGGAATAATGAGAGAGGATAAGTACATGCAATTGAACAACTTGACCGTAGATCTCTTCAATGTGCTGTGCTCCTGAGACATCCTTTCTGTTGTACAAGTTCTTATTGGATCATTAAATGACTTAATAAACTCAAAAAATTCAGGAAAAAGGATGACTAGAAAGCAAATATAGCTTCTTACACATTGATAAAATAACCAGCATCTGAAAGGCATTTCACTTTAGTTGTTGGAGGTAGAAGACCTTTGAAGCGATCACAATTTAAAATAGAAGTCAATCCTCCAGCTGAGCATCCAGAGAGAATTGCCTGCAGTTAAAAGTTTCAGTGAGTGAATAACATGCTTACTCAAGTCAAGTGGAAGACAAAAGTTGGCCAGTTGTTGGTTCGCATACATTTTGAGCATTTTTCATTCCTTTTGCTAGTAAATCCTCAATGACAGCAACAAAAATCCTTGCTCCTCTGAAGTGCAAGTTGGTTGCCTGAATAAATAAATCATAATATAAAACATCAGCAGAAAGAAAATTAACAATAAAATTTATGAAATATTAATATTTTCCTATAAATTTACAAGACAACTTCCATTGAATTTGCAAAACTCACCGGATCAACAGCTTCAACATCACCAGTATATGATGAGCCATCACAATATCTAACCTTGATTCTGTTCCAATCATAGAAATCTGGAACAGATAACATTTTTAGGGACTGGGTTCATGAGAAAAGACAATCAAACAATATATATTGACTAGGAAACAATACCTGGATTGAACTTTTTGCCGTTACTAAAGAATCCAGAAAAGGAAAGTTGCTTATCCATTTTCTTAGATGAACCCAAACGAGTGTCCCTACGGGCAAGGCAAGTAGTGACATTGTTGCACCATCCTCCTCCCTAAAAGAAATTGTGTTGAAGATCATTAACTAAATTAGGGATTTTTCCAATATTTTATAATATTGTATAAAAAAATTTAGAATTTACAACAAAAGAGTGACAAATGAATTGACTGATATTAATATATGTATGATGTACAAACATCTCATAGCATCATCACTGTTCCATATAATATTTAATAAAATTTTTAAGTAACTTATATGATCCTTAGGGGTGGGTAGTATGTTTGGTTAATTTCATGATTTGTTCCTTATTTATGACTTATATTAATATTATATGCTATTACTCAAGAGTTTGTGATAGAAGCTGGTTCAGAAATTAGAAAGAGTGGGGACGAACTCCCAATTTACATAATAGGACACACCCACTGCAAAACCTTAAGGGTTTGCACCTCCCAATGTCAAAGGCCCTAATTTCCTTTCACAAATTACAAGACAGCTCTCTCTCTCAAAACCTCTCCTGTTATTTATTGGCAACATCCCTTATTTCTTCTAATTATCTTCCCAACTACCTACCTACCGACCCAACTAACAATTGCTAACAAATATTATATAAACTATTACTAACAAATACTAACAGATATCAGATAGCAACACCTAAATCTACTACTAACAGGCACATAACAGTTTGTTGTCTATTTTTCTGTTCCTCAGCCTAAATTACTATATTTCAACATGATACCAGAACTGTACCATCATCCATGAAATGTCCTCTTCACTGTTATTTTGTTGAGCTCCCTAGAAGGATGAAACGATACCAATGATTCCTTTCCTTACGGTTGCACAAACATTTTGGTAACAAAAACCTTAGTCTTAGACCAGTGGAAGAATGTGATTAATAAAGTTACATCTTTTCCTGCTGACAATCCGTTCAGCAGTTTGCTTACAATCATGCCACTGGTGAAATTTCTTATTGTTGATGATCATTCCAATGGTTACTTGTATTGGCTGCGACTCATATTAGCCCTGTCTTTCTCCCACATGCCATCTAGCCTTAAGTTTGTACTGTGTAATACTTTTTTATTTTATTTTTTATTTTCTGTTGTACCAAGACTAAAGCTTGTGAACATTAGCTTAGGGAAGGGTGTTAGCATATCAGGAAAATATCTCAATATGATTATTGTATTATAGAATATTTTAAGAGCATCTTATGTATCTCTTAAGAATGACGATCATATTTCATTATGTTTAATTATCAGATTCTTTATTTAATTAGGATTACGAGTCCTCTATCAACATAAAGAGATATGCTATCAACACACATTTTAAATACACTCTTAATTATTGGTTCATTCTCTACAAAGTGAATTGTTTACAAGGTCACGTTGACTTCCTAGAAATTGAAACAATAATGAAGTGCACAGCCAGCATTCTTCTAGTATAAATAAAAGTTAGTGTTTTGACTTTTGTACCATGTTTCAATATTATATTCTAGGCTTAATAAAGTTTTGGTCCTCTAAAATCTTGCAACCATTTTATTTGGTCTCTCATTTTTATTTTTTTTTCAAATGTTTTGAAAAATTATTTTCCATTTTCATTTAGTCCCTTTGTTAGTAGTTCATTCATTTTCTCCATTATTTGTCCATGTGACATCCAACTTGTAGTATGATATAATATGGAGTTGATGTGAATAATGATTTAGAATTTACACATTCATTCCTTTCATATTTCCAAGTCTTGATTTCAAAAACACTAATCTTATACCCTAAAAATTCATTAAAAAATATGAACGATATAATGTTGTTAATGGTACATCCCATCCACGTCATGTCCCACTTCACTTAAATTATACGAGCCAACTCAGATACTATGGAAAGCAATAGTGGAAGAAGTTAACAGAACACTAGTAGACAGACTAGATGTAAATGAAAATATGATTTTTGTGTACTAAAATAGGAAAAAAAACAAAAACAGGAAGGACTAAATGAAATTGCAAATTTATAAAAGATCAAAATCCTATGTTTTATTATTTGAAGTTGTTTTAACTTTCACTCTCCTTTACTTAAATCCTTATAAATTCCACAATCAAATGTGAGAACTAAGAATTATTCTATAGATGACTTTAATAGGACTTTTAATTCAAGATGTATTATTCCTAGGAATATTATTATCAAGAGTGCGATTAGATAATTTCTTAAACATGTTGGGTTAACGTTTAATATTTCTTGAAATTCAAATGATAAGAGGAGAGTGGGAAGGGGAAGTTAATTGTTGAGTCATCCATGGGAATTGTCACTTTCTTGGGAATCAACAATGACCAAGGATTTTTTTTAAAAATAAACATGCACCATATATGGAAATGTCACATTCTCAAGGTTACTTTCAGGGGAATAACTTTATAAACCTTGAAACAAAAACATCCTAAATTTGGAAAAAAAAAAAAATCCACTTGTCAGTTTAGCAAAGCAATATTTGTACATGTACTCACAAGACATAAAACGGAACACACAAGTAAAAATAAAAAATGAATTAAATGTTTTCTTGAGTTGGTAAAGACTCATTATTGAGTCAGTTTACAGAAAGAGACATACCTCAAAGTGAACTATCCAGTTATTAATCCCTGCTCCAGATCCCTTATCGAAGTGGTAAGCTGGTGGGCTCCCATCTAAACAAACTGCACAAGATGTTAAACATCAATTTCCAAACTGTTATAAACAATCCAAAAAATAGAAATGGATGAGATTAAGAGCACAGATAGAATTGTACTCCTATCATCAGATACAGCATAGATTTCTCACCAGCTCCTTTTGCTACCGCACTTTCAACATAAGTGATTCCAACAGAAACCCCTTCTGCCTTTAGTAACATTAGTACACATATTAGAAGACTTAACCATTGGCCCATTCTTGTTGCCTCCATTCTGGATGAATCCAACAATTAGAAGTATCAATAGGGCGTTTTGTTAATTAACTTAACACAAAGCAACATTAGCTTGGCCTTAGACTAAGATAAAACAAAAGCTACATTATAATGAACCTTCTGACATATAAAACAAGGAAAATATTATTACATCTTCTTGTCTAATCATTTGCTACCGCCATCACTTGAGCATTCAAGTTACCAACAAAGATCAACTCTTCTTTCTTTTAATTTAAAAAATCAATGAACCAAAAGTTTGAATTCATTTATGCAGAAGAAAAAAGGATAGAGGAAATCCGTGAATTACGGCACCTTCGATGTAGTCTTGTTTTAATAGAGAGAGATTTCTGGCTTTTAGAAATTGCTTCCTTAACTCTCATTGAAAATTTCTAATAGAGAGGAAACAAAAACTATCCATTTTGAAATCTTGTACTTAAATTTGAAAGACATATATGTAGATTAGGAAAAGATATGAGAATATGGAAAAAAATTTAAGGAAACTTACATTTTTTTTGCTAAGGAAGATGAAATATTTTAAATCTAACACATTGTTGTTGTTGTTATTATTATTATTATAGTAGCATTGTTGTTGCAAAGGAAGATGAAATTTTTTAAATCCACATAATAAGCTTAGAATCAGTAAACTACTAGGTCAGAAAGCTTAATTAGTTCACTAGACCAGCCTAAAATATGCGATATTACTGCAGGAGGTTAATTGGGGTACCCCAATACCCCCAATGGTACCTACACTGGAAAATCCACAAACTAGCATTTCCATATTTGAATATCGGGTCAGATCAACATAATAAGAAAATACATCAACCAGCATAAACCCAAAAACATATCACTGATCTCATCATTTCCAACACTTTCTAGATCAACAACTGTTCACAATGGAACCAAAGTTGATAACTTTTCCTGCATTCTAAATGCCCAAAATAGATACTTCCAACTCCACAAACTAATGATGAAAAGCGATGATTTTTATTTTTTTTTGTATAAATTAGCGAGCTCATTAGAACCTTAAATGGAAGATGTGGAAGTGTACTTGAAAGAATGTGAGTGAACAAACCAGTTCAGGAAGATGGTGGCTTATAAAATGCTTCAGCTGCCGACAGTTCTTGGCAGAGAAATACGGGTTGATGATGTACTTAGGAACTTGCAAGAACACAATCTTGGATAAATGTTTTATTTTTGTTTATTGGACTAGTAAGCACAACACTCGCCATTTATAGTGGTTAAGTTGACGCGTAACACCTGTGCATTTTATTACCGAGAGCGAAAGAAAAGAATGTGCTAAAAAATTATAACAAAAAGAAAAGAATACAATAATTTATATTTTTATATGATATATTCAATGCAAAAATATTTTTTTCTTCAGTTTGATAATAAAATAAAAATGATAAGATATTATTAAATTACTATCATAATTTATTGTGAGTTCATATTTGAAAAGTTGAAAGAAGCCTACACGCAGAAACAACTGGCACGCAGATGTCGGTGACTATTTTGAATGGACCCAAAATCAAATAAATAAGTGGTTGACACTTTTAGGAATTGAGGTGCTGATTCCGCAGTGAAGTGTTCTTTTACAATAATTTCTCTTACACACTGCACATGCACATGCACATGCACATTACACATGCATGCATGCACACACTCACTCACCGATTCGGTTCAACGCTGTCATCCAATTGATTGAGGATAATGATCGCTCCTTTTTGAAGAGAAAGAAAATACCCAAGTAAAAAAACATTGAATTCTAAAAATTCCTTATTTAATTGATAAGAAAAAATATATATTTAAAATCTTTTCTCTCTCTAAATTTGTTCTATTTTTCTTCTATTTTCTTTTTATTTTTGTCCAAAATAGGATTAGGTTTCTGTCGTTTCTTTGACTATATGTGTTTCTCATATGACGTGTGTGTTCGGGAAGCATTCCACGTGGCTAACGAAGGTATTTGCTCCATTTTCTAAAACGATTTTTTTAAAGCAAATTTTAGTCTAAATCTCTGGTTAAACATCAATTTTATTACCATTTTTTTTTACAAAGTCATAACTAATTTATCTTAAAATTTAGGAAGAGTTCATAAAAATAAAAATTATTATATTATTTTCTGACCTAATTAATAAACAATATTTTAATTAGCCAATTAATTTTAAAATACTAGCAAACAATATTTGATTCAATATATTTTGTAATACTGAAATTTTTAATTACTAAAAGTATCAACTTATTATTTGAGAAATATTTTTAAATTTTATTGTTAATATTCTTCATGAATATTAGTTTATTCGTAGGCAAGATGAGGATGCTTGACTGTTGATTTCAAGCTTATTTTCTTCGATCCGATTAAACTCATACAAATCGTTATGTCATCAATTTATCCAACTAATATTTTAAGTAAAATAGTTTTTAGATTGACAGCTAAAAATTATATATGGATGAATATAAACAGTAACGAGCCTTTTCGAGTAAGACCATTAGACCTAATCGATAAAATAAACTTATATTCTCAATATTTGGTTACTTTGTAAATTAAATGAGCAGAAAGAACACTTAAATTTGTACATTTACAATCAGAAAAATGAAATGTGCATTGACCAATCTTTTCAAATTGTTAATACATTATCCATATAATTCAATCCTATTAATACATCTCCATCATGTCATAAATATATAAAAATTGTCATATTAAAACTTAGACATAATGAAAAAAATCTTATTTAAATGAATTAGGTTAATATCAAAGATTCATAATTTTAGGAACATTCATTCACTTAATAGAAATAGTGTTCCTGTTAAGAATACATTTATTTTCTGTAGTCTTTCTTTTCGTCTTCTGGTATGACGTTCTTGTGAAATATTTCAGATTCCTCTTTATTGTGACGTGGAGAGGGTACCTACAAAGACACTCCGATAGTGAAGTCGGTATTTAGTATAGAATAATAAATGTTATTTAATATTCTCAAGTCAACCTTTTACTTGTACTTCTTACTTTCTTTTTATAGACTAAATATTGGGCTAATGGGCTTCATGACTCAGTCCTGCCTTATCCTTTCGATTACTTAGGTAATTAGCCTTCGTCTTATTGATTATCGATTATTAATCTTTAATTAGCTTGCTAACTTACTCTTGGTATGACTAAAGAAGTATAAATACCTTTTGTCCTTAGATGTGGTCGAAGGGGTGTGGATACCTTTCGTCCTAAGATGTGGCCAAAGGAGTGTGAGAATCCTTCGTCCTTAGATTTGGCTGAAGGAGTGTGCGTA